ATGTTGAAATTAAAAAGGAGATCGTAGAACCAGAAAAACTTATGAATGATATTTCTAAAGACTTTAAAAAAAGTCTCACCAACTAAGATTATTTTAGAAAATCCACCAACTTCATTTCTTGAAAGACTCCATAAACGAAAATTGGACCACAAATTTTCAAGATTTTTGGAAATATTTAAGAAGCTGAGGATTAATATTCCTTTCGTTGAGATTCTGAAGCAAATGCCTGGTTACGTAAAGTTCATGAAAGATAGTCTTATAAAGATGAGAAATTTTGGAGATTATGAGACAATAGCACTCAATGAAGAGTGCAGCGCCATCATTCAGAAGAAGCTTCCTCAGAAGCTTAAGGATCCTAGAAGCTTTATTATCCCTTATATATTTGTATATCAATACACAGGTCATCTGCTAACTGACTGCCAAAATTTTGTGTATCATCTTTAAGGTATTACTCAGAACTTGATAATCTCAAGAGATCATTTATGTTCCTTCAAGTACTCATAAAGATGTGTTGCTTCCATGCATATCATAGCTCGATGGGACACAACATCTATAGTTTTGGATCTAATTAGAATTGATATATATATGACACCTTTATTTCATCCATCCTCAGAAATATGATAGAATTTTTTTGATATGGTACCCCGAGATGCAGTGCTTGGCGTTGTCTGCTCCATTTAGTTTAAGTATTAGGATTTATCCCACTAGTAAGGGATCTCCACTGGACATCAAAATTCTTTCGAATTGACAATCTGAAGCTCTATCTCAAACATGATGTTGCAATTGTTGATGAATAAGACTCTGCAAAATTGCAAAAAGAAGACATGGTTTTCTATATGTGGTTGAATGCAGTCTCCTACCTCATGGCCATAGATATTGATGATGTAAACTTTGGACACACAATCCACAGAAAGTATGTGTCATGAGACTATTCTCTTAATCCATGGTGACATCGAATCCACCTCATTGTGATGAATAATTGAAGGAGGATTTCTTTCACTATGATAAAGAAGTTGTAGGAAAAACCACACTGGATGGTAAACTAGCCTTTTTCTTCAATTTGTGAGGCTCTAAATGTGTTATCTTTCTCACAAACTAGACTTAGTCTCTATAGTGCATCTCGAATACGCAATTAACTACTTTATCTTCTTTTGGAATAAACTGCTCCACATTAAAACCAAAATAGACATAGACTCATTTATACCTTGGTATTATGTACTCCTTGACAGCCTCAATATTAGCGTTTACTAATTCTAAGAAGTCCTCCTCAATCATGTATTCTAAAAAATCATACACTTGAGTGTGTGGTGCTACCCCCGCAATGGTTGCTTGGGATTTTCTCTTCCCTTCTCTTTCATACATCTTATGGATGCATTGATTTCTATTTATCTTTTGTGTTCACGTCGGATTGGTTTTCCATTTCTCCATATGGACGCCGATAGAGGCAACAATGAGCTCTCTGGCGGAAGTCATTACCATGGACTTTAGTTTAGAAGTCTCAAAGTTCTAATTGGAATTTACCTTAATGTCTTCCTTGATGATTTTTTTGAGCTTACTCTTCTTTATTATTGCCTCCTCATTTCTTATCGTCAACTCTGAAACTTAGCTTTTCTTTAGTATCATCATGACCAACTATGCTCAATAGCGAATCTTCACATAACATTTTGATCCAATTCAAGTTCATGTCAAAATTGATCGCTAATCCTTGATTAATGCATCGTCTGTCTAGCGTGATATTTGAGCACTGAATAGGAAGTCCTGGTGCTAGAAGTATGTATACATAAAAATTGTGTGGCACGCATATGCAACTATTATTTTATTTACCTGCTTGTTCACGAGCGGTTTTAAAGGGGCTAAGGCAATAGTGATTGTTGCATACGGACATCACATGTAAATTTATGTGTGGTGTTTGTTCAGGAGCACTGAAATACATTTTTTATTGTTAGATTAAGGCCCACTCTAATTTTTTCACGGTCCTGATCGGACACTACACGCAATAATTTTTCCTAAAGCAGTGAGTGTGTTCCTCGTACTACCAACATAAATTTCCATAGAAGTTACATGAACTAAGGCAGTGAGTGTGTTCCTCTTACTACCAACATAAATTTCCATAGAAGTTACATGAAACCAGCGAAAAGCTCACTGTAATAGTCATCTAAACCAACACATCTAGCTCTATTTGAGAACACTACCCAAAAACACTAAATTATGTAGCATGAATACGAATATGACAATATAGACATAACACGACAACAACGACATTGAGACAAGATAGATTTATTATTGAATATATATGATACAAATACATGGCGGACTCGTCATTATAATAAACTTATTAATATATTATATTAATAAGTTATATATATATA